AACAAGACGCTCTATTGAGTGTTAGTCGCTGGGGCTATTGCATATTATGCTGCATGCGATTGAGATTAAGACTGCTATTTGTTTGTTAAGTTTATGTGTTCATATAATAAAATTGTTTTTGTCAAAAATGGGATTCAAGGAAAAATTAAAACAAAGTTCATCAAACAAGTCCCCGGACTATAGACAATAAACAAATTTGTCTAAGTTTGGTTATATCCAATTTGCAACTTTACATAAGTCACATGCCTTAAGGCTGCATTCCAGTTACGCGTTATGAAATAACTAAATTTATAAAAGGACAGCATTCAGTTTTGTGTATGATTTAATGTGTATTTGTTAAGGTTATTTGCACTTATATGAAATTTTAAGCGAATTCAACTTTTACGTGCGCGTACGCACCTATGAAACTGGAATGCAGCCTTAAGTATCATTGTTCTGGTGTACTGAAGCATAGAGTAGAGCAAAGATAACTAAGCTTTAGAATTATCTAGCTATATGAATGAATGAATGACTTTTATAGTGTATAGGGCTTATCAAATGCTTAGTTACCTCTGTTCTATTCTATGTGTGAACTACTGTAGAACACTAACTAGGCATGAATATTTAAAGTTGTGAATTGCATAGCAACAATGTAACTAACTTTGCCAAATTTATCTATTATACAAATTAATATGTTCTGTGTGTTTGAATTGTACAATACCTATTGTGAGATAACAGCTGTCCTGAGAGCTTTTAAAATATCATTTGCCAGCAAGGCAAAAAGTTCTATTAAACCCTTGTCCCATTAAGCAGATTCTATTTACATCCAAATAAACAGCAACTTGCGAATATTATTGTTGCAATTTACGAAGTTCCAACTTTGTGAAAATTGTGAACTTTTGTCGTCTATTTCAGGCTTCCAGCCTTCCAAGTTTACTCATATAAGATGACTTTCGGTTTATAGAGTCTGGCTGATGGGAAAACTATTAAGTTTCATCGAAAAAATGAAGAAAATATGCACAAAATCGATGAAATTATTTCCAAATACGCTCCCAAATAGGCGGCCATCTTGAATCCAGCGACTGAAAGTAATGACATAATGTTTGCCAAAAAAATGACGTAGGTCATTTTGTGACCAACAATCCGCGATGAAGCCGAAACCTATAGTAGCTGGAGGCACAGTGTGCCCCAGCGACTAATAAAATTTAGTTTAGGTTTCTTCCTGCAGTAACACTGGATCAATAAGTGATGATCCTTACTGGACCTCTATTCCAGTATAAATAAAATTTAGTTTAGGTTTCTTCCTGCAGTAACACTGGATCAATAAGTGATGATCCTTACTGGACCTCTATTCCAGTATAAATAAAATTTAATTTAGGTTTCCTCCTGCAGTAACACTGGATCAATAAGTGATGATCCTTACTGGACCTCTATTCCAGTATAAATAAAATTTAATTTAGGTTTCTTCCTGCAGTAACACTGGATCAATAAGTGATGATCCTTACTGGACCTCTATTCCAGTATAAATAAAATTTAGTTTAGGTTTCTTCCTGCAGTAACACTGGATCAATAAGTGATGATCCTTACTGGACCTCTATTCCAGTATAAATAAAATTTAATTTAGGTTTCCTCCTGCAGTAACACTGGATCAATAAGTGATGATCCTTACTGGGCCTCTATTCCAGTATAAATAAAATTTAGTTTAGGTTTCCTCCCGTAGTAACACTGGATCAATAAGAGATGATCCTTACTGGACCTCTATTCCAGTATAAATAAAATTTAATTTAGGTTTCCTCCTGCAGTAACACTGGATCAATAAGTGATGATCCTTACTGGGCCTCTATTCCAGTATAAATAAAATTTAATTTAGGTTTCCTCCTGCAGTAACACTGGATCAATAAGTGATGATCCTTACTGGGCCTCTATTCCAGTATAAATAAAATTTAATTTAGGTTTCCTCCCGTAGTAACACTGGATCAATAAGAGATGATCCTTATACTGGACCTCTAGGAAGAACAGTTTAGAACTGATAGAGCTATCCAGTATAAATAAAGTTAGTTTAGTTTAGGTTTTCTTCTGGAGTAACACTAGATTAACAAGAGATGATCCTTACTGGACCTCTAGGGAGGACAGTTTAGAACTGATACAACTAGTTAGATTTTTATTCGCTCATAAATTAACTAATTATTTTCTCGTATAGGTAAGCCTACAGTTGATACGCCAAAAGTCCAGCGTCTGTGTTCACTTTCGTCCTACAAGCCACAGTTACTATCATCGCTGGTTAGTAGCGTTGAGAAAGGTGAAAAACAAGCAGGAAAAGTCTCTGACAAGGCAGAGAGTGTCTCATCAACCAGCAAAGGCTTCTTACCTGGGATGTTTAAGGAACGATGAACAGTAACGCGACTACAGAAGGCTACTTATGGTTACGGACATATGAAACTTTTGGATTAACATTAATAAATATATCATTATCTGAAAAAAAAATTTGTTTCATATATTTTGCTAATTACGCGAATGAAAACCAATATTGCATCTGATTACGCTTAGAAATTAGCAAAGTGGTTACAATTTCTTGGGTGTGCTGTGTTGTAGGAATTGCCACATTTGTACTTTGTTTATAAAACATAAACATTAACACGTGGAATTTCAAACATCGTGTGGGTTTTTAACTGTTTTCTTCAAAATACATCAAATTCCGTAGTATACAAGATGAGTCTTGAAGCGATCAAGTACAGTCCTGGACATTTAGAGATATTAAATCAATTGCTTTTACCCCACCAGTCCATTTATGAAAAAGTCAACAATACTGAAGATGGATGGCAGGCCATACGACAAATGAAGGCAACATTTATTAGTTTTTATACACTAAACTGTTCTCCCTAAAGGTCCAGTAAGGGCCATCCTTTATGGGTTGACTGTTACTACAGGAGGAAACCTAAACTAAACTAACTTTATTTATACTGGATAGTTCTATCAGTTCTAAACTGTTCTCCCTGGAGGTCCAGTAAGGATCATCCCTTATTGATCCTGTGTTACTACAGAAGGAAACCTAAACTAAACTAACTTTATTTATACTGGATAGCTCTATGAGTTCTAAACTGTTCTTTCTAGAAGTCCAACAAGAATCATCTCTTGTTGATCCAGTGTTGCTACAGGAGGAAACCTGAACTAAACTAACTTTATTTATACTGTTAAAGTGGCCACTGCCCCCAATGATGTTATAAAATTTTTGCTTGTCAGGTCCGAGGTGCACCTGCAATTGCAATTGTTGGATCTCTCAGTCTTGCTGTTGAACTTGCATCGAAAAACATTGATACAGTTGACTGCCTTGTAGATTGGGTTGCGGCTAAGTTAGACTACCTCGTCACAGCACGACCAACTGCCGTTAATATGGCAACAGCTCGTGACAATCTCAAACATTTTATGAAGTTGAAAAAACAATCGGAAATCTCTGCAGAGAAAATGAAAAGTAGTTTAATCAACGAGATTGAGGGTATGCTTGTGAAAGATATTTCAGATAATAAAGCCATCGGTTCCAATGGAGCCGAACATATGATGAGAAATATCAAAGCCGAGAAAATTGTTGCCTTGACTCATTGTAATACTGGTTCACTAGCGACAGCAGGTTTTGGTACAGCATTGGGCGTGGTCAGAGCATTACATGAAAAAGGTGCCCTAGATCATGCATATTGTACAGAGACCAGGCCGTATAATCAAGGTTCGAGGTTAACAGCGTACGAGTTAGTTCATGATCACATCCCAGCCACCTTAATAGCAGACTCAATGGTGTCGATTACACTGAAGGAGAAAATGGTGTCGGTTATTGTTGTTGGGGCAGATAGAGTCGCTGCAAATGGTGATACTGCAAATAAAATCGGAACTTATCAATTGGCTATTTCAGGTGAGGATAAGATTTCTGATTTTAATTTAATTTCACAGCTGCATCGATCTTGAGAAGTGTTTTTGTAGTGTGACTCTGCCAAACACAGCAATTGTATGCATCTATAAGATGGCTCTTACTGGACTTCTAGGGAGAACAGTTTAGAACTGATAGAATTGTCCAGTATAAATAAAGTTAGTTTAGGTTTCCTCCTGTAGTAACACTGGATCAATAAAAGATGATTCTTACTGGACCTCTAGGGAGAACCGTTTAAAACTGATAGAGCTATCCAGTATCAATAAAGTTAGTTTAGTTTAGGTTTCCTCCTGTAGTAACACTGGATCAATAAGAGATGATCATTACTGGACCTCTAGGAAGAACAGTTTAGAACTGATAGAGCTATCCAGTATAAATAAAGTTAGTTTAGTTTAGGTTTCCTCCTGTAGTAACACTGGATCAATAAGAGATGATCTTTACTGGACCTCTAGGAAGAACAGTTTAGAACTGATAGAGCTATCCAGAAAAATAAAGTTAGTTTAGATTTCCTCCTGTAGTAACACTGGATCAATAAGAGATTATCCTTACTGGACCTCTAGGGAGAACAGTTTAGAACTGATAGAGCTATCCAGTATAAATAAAGTTAGTTTAGGTTTCCTCCTGTAGCAACACTAGATCAACAAGAGGTGATTCTTACTGGATCTCTAGGGAGAACAGTTTAAAACTGATAGAATTGTCCAGTATAAATAAAGGTAGCTTAGTTTGTTCCAGTCAAATTTTAATACATTTATGTTCCCTTTCAGCAAAATACCACAACGTGCCATTCTACATAGCAGCTCCGAGCACGTCCGTAGATCTTACATGCAAATCAGGTGGGGACATCGTCATCGAAGAACGACCGCTGCAAGAACTCACCCACATACAAGGGCACCCCATAGCTGCCCCCGGTATCGCATGTTGGAATCCTGCCTTTGACGTGACCCCCGCTGAACTTATAACTGGGGGGATTGTGACGGAATTTGGAGTCTTTAGACCTTCAGAACTACAGGACGAACTTGAGAAGAGATTGAACAGTGACTGAGGATTAACTGGAGGAAAAACTTTGAAATGTTGATTTGATTACGGAATTTAGGCAATAGACAGAAAGGCAATAGGCACAAAATAAAATCAACTGAAAAATGTGAAAATCAAGTGAAAAATGAAATAAATGATAACTTCAGTGTATGGCAGTGTATCTCTGTTGTTACGTGGTGATGTCTACTATTAGATAAGTGGGTAATGCGCGCTAATGTGAACTATTTTCTTCATAGTGCCCAAGCGTAATCTATTATTGCAGGTTCAGAATACAAAACACAGCCGCTTATTTCCCATGTATCAGAGAATGGTTTTGTGGGATTCAACAACCTTAAAAAACACAAGTAAAACGTCGACCACTTGTATTTCCAGGTAGTTGAGTCACAGTGGATTTGGACCCCCGGTAGATTTGGACCACCCCCGGTCCAAATCGCCTAGTAAGATACGGACCCCCTTTAGCGGATTTGTACTTCCTTTTTTAAACACATTTATATACTAAAATCGCGTTACTCTAATATGCTATTTCTATGGTTGTGTTTAATTAGAAACCATTAGTAGATAGTCATAGGCTTCCTTTTAGATGAGTCACCATCACTTACTGTTTATTAAGAAACATTCATGGAAATCGTGGTTCGTGTCGATCCAAATGCTATATGCAATTTCTATCGCTTTTGTTAAAAACCATTACTCATTAGCAGATTTGTTATTGGCAAAGACTATACTATAGATTTTAGTTACACTACATTCCATTTATCTATTTTACGTTTTGTGGCCTCAAATATTTAAAAATAAAGTGATAAAATATCATCAGATAGTTGATCGCTATTATGAATTTGGTTTATATTATTGTGTTCACATTACATATATTTAACTTCGAAGGGGGGTCCAAATCCGCCAACGCGGGTCCAAACTAGTGGATATGGACCGGGGGTTCCAAATCTATGGGGGTCCAAATCAACTGAGACACCGGCTGACGGCTGTGACGAAAAACTGCCGCTATTATCACAGTTTCACTTCACGGGTAAAAACTATGGATTGTTGTTGGTAAACAAAGCCAGGGACACGAGAAAAACAAAGTAAAACTAGTCTCCAATTATTACCGAATATTTTTTAGTCGCGTGCATGCGCGTTGCAGATAAGCTCCCTATTCTCTCTACCTACGCTCAGAGTCACAGACAGTTGGAGTTTTGCAATATCAGCCCTATTACATACGCAATTTGGAAGAAAAAACATCGTAATAATCAATTCCCATGTAACCAATACTATATTAGTCTCATTCCCCTTAGTCATCCCCCTGAAGCAGGCGAGGAATGCAAACAGCGTACGATGTGACATCTCTGGTGTCACTAGGAGCAGCATCACACGTCAAGGAAGTCTCAAATTAACAACGCTACAGGCGGCTTGGAATTTGACACAAAGTATAAAATTCAAAACTCGCTTGTCAGTTGTCCATCGTTTGCTGAAACGGATACAGAAAGCTTCGTGAAGGCGACTTTGGCTCAAGCATGAAGATTCTTGCAATATTCGCCTTGGTTTTTGTATTATATTCCCCTGACGTCTTGGGTAAGTGACATTTTAAATGCTTTTCTAGAATACTATCGGATATGCATAAATTGCGCGGCGTTTATTTGCGCGTTTGTTTAGGGTATGCCTTATGAGAAAGGTCAACAGTGTAATGGTATAAATTGGATGAAGCTTGTCAGTTTATGAGCTGAAATATGTTAAAATACGTATAAATATCTCCAGGCATTATATTGGTCATAATGTTCGTGTGGTAATTGGATAAATAAGTGCGTTACCTTATATATAAAATATATCAGTTGCGTCCAATATATATTTTAAATGTATGAATGTATGACACAATTCAGCTGATAGTCACAGGATGTGATATAGGTTGGATTTCTAGACTGCTCGATAATTCGAAAGTTTCGCATTTATATGCATACAACCACCTGAAAAATACAGGGGAATTTCGACGTTTCGAGCGAAGGCCCTTCGTTGGGAAATCAGTAGAGAAATATTTTTCAGGTGCTTGCATCCCTAACAATCCGAAGCTCTCTTTAATATTATTGCCACTGCCTACAATGCCTGCACTGGCACAGAGCCACAGATCGTTCAAGAGAATGCTCGGTAATTATGCTAGACTATAGAAATAAAACGACAATATATATTTCAGCCACAACTAAATACATTTCTGATTAAAGCAATCAGTTAATAAATTTCATTGAAACATTTTTGTGCAACAGAACGCGCTAGATGCCATTCCATAATCTGCGATGCTCTTGAAGTAACACTTGTCAATGAGAAGGATCTTGCTGGAGTAATTTGACACGCCAGAAAGTTGTGTTGAAGATTTTATAGGCACTATGGCCGAGTCTTTAATAGTTGAAAGGGTTTTGTAGATTATATACAATTTCATAGTTTGAGATGTTTTGAATCTCCTCGAGGCGCCTGATATAAAACCTCATGTGATATAACTTGCACAGACCTGCGACTCGACGAGTCCGCTTTGGACATCGTCCAACTGTGTTATGAAGCAAAGCAAAACAGCAACGAGCAAGAGAATGCCAACGTGAAATTTGATTTAAATATTCGACTTTATTCCCGATACGATGGCTGGAATATTTGAGCTGTTAGATCGAGAGATGTTCAGTATTGTTGTAGAAGCCTTTGTGGTCAGGAATAAACTCAACCAGCTAACGTGTTTGGGCGCGTTGCTACCCAATTCAGAAGAGGTTGTGGGTGTATGCTTGACACACGTCAGACAGCTAGATTTAATACATTTGGCTGATTTGGGCCTCGTCTTGAAAGACTTAGTTGGGCCTCGTCTTGAAAGAATGTTCACATTATCAATACCCGCAGTACAACAAAGGATTATGTGTGTAGTTTGGCATCCCCTTGGTATACAGGGTGTATCAAAAAAAACTGAACAGATTTAAAATTGCTCTCAATTTCGCAAAACAGCTATTTGTATCTGGTTTTTTATATATATAGCTTCTTTGGGTACTTATAATGTAAAATAATGAAAAAAATTTCTCGAACTCAAATTTTGTGAACCAGGGGGGGGTGTCTTTTCCAACAAACTAAAAAGGGCTCGCGCACAAAATTTAAAAGCTGCAATCATATTTTGAGTTAACAGATGGAAAATTTGTCGGGATTTTAATTACTGTACAAAATTTCAGACAATTTGGTTTAGTTTAAGCCCCTTAACTATTCACGCAAAGTTACAATTTTCCCGAAAAATCAGCTATTTGCATGGTTAATTAATGCATTTGCCTAATTTGCATATGTCAGCAATATGCAAATTAGGTAAAGGCATTAATTAAGCATGCGAAAGGCTGACTTTTTAGAACAAAATGAATAGTTAAAGGGCTTAAACTAAACCAAATTGTATGAAATTTTGTACAGTAATTAAAAACCCGACAAATTTTCAATCTATCAACTCCAAATATTATTAGAGCTTTTAAATTTTGTGCGCGAGCCATTTTTAGTTTGTTGGAAAAGACACACCCCCCTGGTTCACAAAATTTGAGTTCGAGAAATTTTTTTCATTATTTTACATTATAAGTACCCAAAGAAGCTATATATATAAAAAAACAGATACAAATAGGTGTTTTGCGAAATTGAGAGCAATTTCAAATCTGTTCAGTTTTTTTTGATACACCCTGTATATATGTATACAAGAACTTGTGGTTAGAGCTTGACAACTGGCCTCTATAGCTCAGTTGGTTAGAGCACTGCACCGGAATCACAGAGCCGCAGGTTCGATTCGTGCCAGAGGGCTCTACCCGTCGAAGACTGCAGACTGGCAGTCGAAAGCTTGTAATAAATAAATCTTTTTAACCAGAGAACGTTTACACAATTAAAGAGGGCCTGTAATTGCATTTTGCGCAGGTGTTACTGATTAGGTCTACAATATATCTACAAAAAGCTTTCACATTATCAATATCCGCAGTACAACAAGGGATTAGGTGTGCAGACGCTGTAGTCCCTATATTTGCGGTTTATTGCATAATATACCACCGGTATTTTAATATTTTGGTGGTAATTTGCGACTACAATATCTCATCTTACTCAGAAATAGCGTGACTCTCTGTGTGATAAAACTTCACCCTGCGGCGTCGACATTTCAAGAGTTAGTCATCCCGCCACCGACGGGCAAAAATTCGTTTAACGAATTTTTGGTGGATTGAAAAGGATTTCAAGCTAAAACCATATAGTTGCATCATGTAAGACCAAGTGACCAACCGACTATTCAAACTATTTACTTAGCGCGCAATTGCCAAAAACTCATGACAGACTATTTTAATTTCTAGGCGTTTAAAATCTCCCCCAAAAAATCACATTTACGAAACGTACGGACGGTGGGACCGCTCCTTAGAAGTTAGCTACGCATTTAAAAAGTCATTGTCCAGAACGTCCTTTTGCCAAAAAGGCTTGAGAACTTGAGAACGAAGGGCTTTCGCTTGAAACATCAAAGCTTTACTGGTATTTTTCAGCCAGTTGCATGAATCCTGCTGGACCCGTGGCTTTCCACAGTTTGAGACAGCAAGAATTTGTTGGGGGTCAATGGACCATTTGCATTATAGACTAAATTTTGATCTCAACAAGCCTAGATAAAAATTTCATCACAGCTTGAAAGAGCATCACAAAATTAGTAATATTCCAACGTTTCGTTGCGAAATGTTGTAAAATGCGGATAATATAGCCTTACGAAGTTTGCCGTTTTTCAGTCATTTTGCATTACGCGGGGGAAATTGACAGTCCAATACCCTTTGGGGCTGTCAATTTCCCGTTTGTAATAGAAAATGACTGAAAAAGCAAGAATTTGTTGGGGGTCAATTGATTCCCGCCCGGTGCCCCATATTAAAGGTGGCTTCTTGGGCGATACTTCCTGTCTGTAATCCGAATTTTATCAGGAAGTTATTTTTCACATAATGACTAACAGATTTGGCCATTTGTATAATAGAATTTTATACTTGCGACTCCTATAGCGATGAATCAGATTCCTAGCCTGCGTAGTAGGCGCAATTTAGGGGGGAGGGCGAGGGTGCGAAAAGCTAGGGGGATGCCTGCTACGCAGGCTACCAGATTCCTGGAGATACGAATTTAAATCTTTCTCAAACCACATGCTTCAAATTTTCTCCCTTGCTTACTTTAGTCTGATTTGGCGATAAAGCCTAACACATTTCAAGATATATTTTATAATATTTACAATGAGACTTAACCCCTGCTAAAAATAAACTATTATAGTGACATGTAAAAACAAAATGTATGACTTGATATGTTATTCTATAAACTTCTAATTTATGCGATGCGCGCATCATTATATTATTCAGCTCAATCCCCTAAGTTGGGGCTTTTCAGTGACGATTACATCAAGTTTTACGCTTACTTATGTTACTTACTTGGCCTAGAGATAAACACAGTTAAAGTGCCTATGACACGAAATTTTACCCCAAATGTTTATGATTGCATTGTAAAGATCACTTAAAATGACTTAATAATTTCTTTTATAGAATTTTGGTAACTTGCTTCCTTTGCCAGATATTCAACTTTGTTTCATATGCAAATATCACCGGTGTGACATCACATCGCATAATGACATTTTGAAAACGCAATATTTTACCTTGATAAGATAAAATATTTTTGCAAACTAATACAGAGGTTTAATCATCAGTTATTAAATTAATATATATATACAAGGGCAATTTTGAAGTTTTTTAGATACGTATTCGTCAAGAAAACTATACTTTTCTGAAAACTCATTATGTGATGTGATGTCACACGTGTCATAGGCACTTTAAGAAATTGTAAAGATAAATAGTCTAGGGCCCTAGACTATTTATCTTTACAACAATTGTGATATTACTTTCTTGACTGTGTTTATCCTAATCCACCCTGTCAACTTTCCCGTGGGAGGAAACCAAAGCACCCGGAGAAAACCCACGACTTTCGGCAGAGCGTTGACTGACTCTTTTCACATGAGTCTGTAACGACATGTGCTTTATAGACTTTATATGCGAAAGAAATACCTGCGTGTAACGCGCAATGTAATTCTGCATAAAGTGCGCATTTATAACGAAAAACATTTGGACGGGCAATTTTATAAAAGTCGGGCAAATCTTTGTCCGTCTCTAAACTTTTCCTCCTCTTTCGCCTATGATTGTGACGCATGATATGGAAAACAATAGTTGATTTTCAAAACAATAAAAAGACAATGAAATATCCTATTACTGAGATCACATCATCTGTTATGCTAAAGTAATAAAATGGCTCATCCCATATTAAAATCATTGTCACTCATAGTCATTCTAATCTACACAAATAAGGAGCGCAGAAAATGCACATTGCCTATAAAACACGTAGTCATACAAATGTGAGATGACTTGGCAGTTTTTGGAAATTATTGGGATAATATTTTCCCGGAAATATTAAAAAATGCTTCCTAGATAGCCTTGCCTTTTCCTATATTCCATAAACATGGCATACAATTTCAATTTTGCAAACCAAGAGATTCAATACTATAAACCAGGGACGCTGGAACTGGGGGGCAGGAGGGGAAGCCGCCCTCGTTGCCCTTTACCAGGAGGGGCAAGGGGGGCAAAGGTGCCCTTTCAATTTAAATGATTGCCTTAGCGAAATAGCGAATTGTCAGAAATATTAGTGCAATTCTTTTACGAATTTGCTTCAGAAAACGCAAGAAATGCAGTCATCGAGCTTCAAGAATAGCACAATCGCCTGGCGGAGAACCCCCTCACTCCCCCTATCATCCAATAAATAGAAAACATGATTAGGCGAAGTTCAACTCCCGATCCGATGTCTTGCAAACATCTCTTAGTATATATCAATTCAAAAGTGCCCTTTCACGAAAATCTGCCCCCCTTGCCTTCACATCGTTCCGGCGTCCCTGCTATAAACAGTCGTTTTGTTTCGATAACCCTAATCTCGACATTTTTACTCTCTTTAATTAAACAAACAAACGCATTAGCTCAAGACTCAAGTTTCGCTTGAATGGCCTACTTGATAAAATCTTGAACTGTTTGTGCCAGTGAAGTGGCAATAATATGAACAAGCTTTCGTTAGTAGGAAGCAATGAAACTCTATATTTTTCAGGTACTTGCATCACTACCAACGAAAAGCTTGTTCATATCTATTTGATAAAATACTTTTACAATTGCTTGATAAAATATTTATAATGCTGTTGCCAAGGTTAATTTGTCCGAGAATTTGTCAAATTCGCGCAATTAACATTAATTAGCTACTTGCGCGTCTAAGCTGTAATAGTTCAGATAATATCATGCAGATAATATGACACAGCAGGGTTGTCGTATGCAAGCATCTTGTGAGGTCTGCTTGCGAGCAAGATAACATCACCAACTTATCAGTATTTTGTATTTATTGAGTGACAACGATTTAATTGTGAACGCTCGTTTTAATGGAAATTCCATCTGATCATTATCATCGATATGAATTGCACGCCAATATTTACATAGAGCAGGACAGCTTAAATTGGGTAAATATTAGCATTTGGGCGTCTTCACTCGATGAGAACTAATTGTTGAAGGTTTTTTGCAGATGAAAATTCCAAGTGTGAATTTTATACTTAGAAGTGAATAGGAGTATACAAATCCGCCGATCCGTCCAAATTTGAAGCAAAATCCGCGGTCCGACAATGGTCTTCTCTAAATTTTAATCCGCTAAAAGCTCTACTGTGAAATCACAATCCAGGATCCGAACTAAATTGCAAGCAAACTCCACAATCCGAGCCAAAATATTAGATAAATCCGCAATCCGCTGTATTAATAAGATCCGCAAATCCGTGTAAAATACTTGCCAGATCCGAAATGCGAACAATTTTTCTGTGAAATCCGACGATCCAAAAACCTATTCTTACACCTAACCAGGAACAGTTGTAAAAATTCCTCTGGCAAGAATCAAAGCTGCCAGAGAGGCTATCATGAGTTGCATGCTTCTTTAGATCTAAAACTGTATCAAATTTTACACAAAAACTCTTCAATAGATTGTGGAATGTCGCCTACACAGACCCCCACGTTTGAGGTATCACTTAGAAAAATGAAGTGGGAGGGGGGGGGGGGTATTTTCAGCCCCCACCAGTCATTGTTAAACACTGAGTCAGTTTCCTCAAATATTTCTTACAAATCTTTCAAAACTTAGAATTTACCCATGCAAAATTCCTACTGTGATCACAGAAACTTTGATTAAAACCAGGTTTAATCGTCCGCCCCATAAAATATATTTTCTGTTTCTCGAAGGTTATGGACGGTCGAAAGAGGGCAAATGTCCACCTCTGACGGGGAACGAGAATTGTGCTTTTAAACTACTGAACAGTGAATACGATCAGTGCACGGGCCAAGATATTGAATGTCATGGAGACGACAAGTGTTGTGAGGATGGCTGCGGGGGGTATGAATGTAGGCTTGCTGTTGATTTACCACCACTTCCGGTTATAGGTAAGAGTCAAGGGGATACCCTAGCCTGTGAGCAGCCTCTCTATAAGGAGGGTTAGTTCAGGCATGGCCTATCGAAGGGAAGATGGCTGTGAAACTTATTAGAATAACAATATAACTCATTATCTATGTTGGTCAACGTTTATTCATAAATCTGGTCCTTCACCGTCACATGTGTATTGTATTTTTGCGCAACTAACCAATAGCAATGTTTTAGGAAAGTCACCTATCCGTGACTCGAACAATAGGGAAACTGGAAATTGCTATTGGTGGATTTGGTAGAAATACAATACACACGTAACGGTGAAACGACCAGATTTATGAATAAACGTTGACTAACACAGATAATGAGTTATATTGTTATTCTAATGAGTTTCACAGCCATCTCCCCTTCGATAGGCTATGGTTCAGGGTTTGCCTGATTTTGTGAACGTTATATAGAAATAATAAATATAGAATGTGTGCTATATATTTTTACTGGATAACAAACTATTAGCGCAAGCTGCTTCAGGAATCAGTATTTCGAAAATTTTCTTGTCTGGATCAGTAGCAGTTTACATCTCTGATGTTTTGAAATAAGCAGACGTGCAGAAATATATAAACTAAAACAGCAGGTTCAATTTTAACCCAGGATTAGCGCTAATCCAGCTTTGAACACGTAGCCCCAGATCTCCGTAGCTCACACGGTTGCTAAATCTTCTTCTTGTTTTCCAGAACCACACTGCGGAGCCGGCGATCAATGTGAGGCAGCGAACATCACTTACTGTCAGGAAAATGATTGCACTAAGTATGTCTTCAAATTTAAAGTCCCAATTAAACGAGGGTGGGAGTTGAGAAGCGAGAGTTTGCATGAGAGTTGATGAGAGTTGGGAAGCGAAAGTTTGCACGAGAGTTGAGAAGCGAGAGTTGAGAAGCGAGAGTTTGCATGAGAGTTGAGAAGCGAGAGTTTGCACGAGAGTTGAGAAGCGAGAGTTGAGAAGCGAGAGTTTGCATGAGAGTTGAGAAGCGAGAGTTTGCACGAGAGTTGAGAAGCGAGAGTTGAGAAGCGAGAGTTTGCATGAGAGTTGAGAGAGTTTGCATGAGAGTTTGCATGAGAGTTTGCATGAGAGTTTGCATGAGAGTTTGCATGAGAGTTGAGAAGCGAGAATTTGCATGAGAGTTTGTACGAGAGTTGATGAGAGTTGAGAAGCGAGAGTTTGCATGAGAGTTTACATGAGAGTTTGCACGAGAGTTGATGAGAGTTGAGAAGCGAGAGTTTGCTTGAGAGTTTGCATGAGAGTTGATGAGAGTTGAGAAGCGAGAGTTTGCATGAGAGTTTGCACAAGAGTTGATGAGAGTTGAGAAGCGAGAGTTTGCATGAGAGTTTGCATGAGAGTTGATGAGAGTTGAGAAGCGAGAGTTTGCATGAGAGTTGATGAAAGTTGACTGGATATTACGCGCAGTTCAAGTATAATATTTTGTCTTTTTCCCATTAGATGCTGTCGACATAACAGTGTGTGTAGTCCCAGTGGCGAGCACATCACAAAAGACGAATGCGAGAAAAGTATGTATACTTCAGGCCATAGAAATATTACCCCTAATATTTCTATGTTTCAGTCACGTCCCAAGGATTATCTCCGCCTTCAATTTCATTCGGGCTTGTATGTGTGTGTGTCTGTGTTTATCTGTACCAGCAGGATAACTTTGAAAATATCATACGCATTAATACGAAAATTGGTGGAGCTAAAGGACATTGCCCAAGGACAAAGTGATTAAATTTTGGTTAACTTTGCATGAAAATTGGATGAGATATTAACAAAAAGTTTGTCTATGCTTTGCCAGGCAGAATAAACTGAATACGTAATTAGACCATTGTGACGCGCAAGGCGGGAAAAATTTTAAAAAACTTTAAATACATTTTAAACCCGGAAAAGTTGCTGACACAACAGAAAGTTTTCCCGCTAAGCGGGAAAGTTGTGGCTATGAACACAAGTTCATGTGGGGAAAACATTATCCTGGTCACCGAGACACGGGAAAACGTTTCGTCTCATATGAACACAGTGTAACTTTTCATATTATTTTCATACCAAGGCGAGATCTCGCTTGTAAACTTGTCGAAATGTTCCCGAACTTGTCGAAATGCTTTCCCCCATATGAACAGGCCTTCAGTTAGCCACCAGTTATCAGTGCTTAACCTATAACTCTCACTACGTTTTGGTCCAAACATACAAGTGAATTATATTGACTTACTTTTTGAACAGATCTTTGCAAAGACATCTTGTGTCCAGGTCAAGGCGAGATTTGCAAGTTGGATAAATATCATCGTGCGATCTGCGACTGTCCCCGCGAGTGCCCGCCTGACGTTCCCGACATGCTCGTGTGCGGATCTGATGGCGAGACATATCAAAATGAATGCGAGATGAACATGAGCGCATGCGTCACGGGAGATAGGATTAGCGCCTTACACAAAGGAGTTTGTCTGCCTCCCACACAGAAGAGTAAGTGTACTGAGCTCAGGTTATGACTAGATTAGTATGATGGCATTAACTGTTCTCACTAGATGTCTAATAAGAGTTATTTCTTATTCATCCAGTGTTACTACAGGAGGAAACCTAAACTAAACTAACTTTATTTATACTGGATAGCTCTATCAGTTCTAAACTGTTCTTCCTAGAGGTCCAGTAAGGATCATCTCTTATTGATCCAGTGTTACCACAGGAGGAAATCTAAACTAAATTAAACTAACTGTATTTATGCTGGCTAGCTCTATCAGTTCTAAACTGTTCTCCTTAGAGGTCCAGTAAGGATCATCTCTTATTGATCCAGTGTTACTGCAGGAGGAAATCTAAACTAACTTTATTTATACTGGATAGTTCTATCAGTTTTAAACTGTTCTTCCTAGAGGTCCAGTAAGGATCATCTCTTATTGATCCAGTGTTACCACAGGAGAAAATCTAAACTAAATTAAACTAACTGTATTTATGCTGGCTAGCTCTATCAGTTCTAAACTGTTCTCCTTAGAGGTCCAGTAAGGATCATCTCTTATTGATCCAGTGTTACTGCAGGAGGAAATCTAAACTAACTTTATTTATACTGGATAGTTCTATAAGATCAGTTCATAATTGTTCCCAGTGTTATATTAAACGAACAATTTGAATAGCTGGAGAAATTTTCTGTCGAACTCGAACTGTTCTCACATGTGAGGCCCCCTAGCAAATCTAGCAACCAACAGAACAGCAGCCAATGACATTTTCTCTAGGTCCTCTGGAGATATGCTCGTTGGCGAAAGATATAGGTTATGGCTGGACATTGGAGTTGAATTATTATTTCAACAAAGAGAAAGGGATTTGTGAGGGGTTTCTGTACCATGGCAAAGGAGGAAATGAGAATAACTTCGACATATACAAAGATTGTGATGATATGTGCGCAGACACAAGTAAGGATGAAAGTTGGTTTAATTTCAAAGCAGAAATAGCGTTTATTCTTTTACCTTTTACCAGTTGACAGCGAAAATGTGAACAGGATGGCAAAGGACATAAATGTGCGTTAGAAAATGAAGTCTCTCTAAAGGCCGATCTACACCAACAGCATGCAACCTGAACACAACTTGAGTTGTACTGTGTAAATGAAAATTTGCCTACTTTGTCACAATGTCGTAGGTGAGTTGTCTGCTTGAGTTACACGGTACAACTCAAGTTGTAAGCAGGTTGCATGCGACAGTTTTAGGCAAAAGTTGTGTAGCGTAAAGCGGCCTTAATATAGTGGAATAATATACAATGGAATCGTAGCCTTAAAATTTCTCCAAATTTCTTTTCAGTAACCGACGTTTGTGTACTCCCTAAACTTGTCGGGCCGTGTCGGGCCGCCTTTCCAAGATGGCACTTTAACAGCCGTGTTCAACGTTGTGAGCGTTTCACCTACGGAGGCTGTGCGGGCAATGCCAACAATTTTAAAAGCGAGGAAGACTGCAACAACCAGTGCGTCTGTAGGCTTCCCAAGGCGCAAGGAGTTTGCAAGGGTTATTTTCCATCGTGGTTTTTTAATATCGAGACGGGAAAGTGCGAGAAATTTGTTTACGGAGGATGTGGCGGGAATATGAATCGATTTTACAACAAAGAGAGATGTGAAAAAGCCTGTGGCGTGGGCGAAGGTAAGTTGACTGATCTATATATGTTTCAGTGGAGCAATCTTTCTTCCAACTGATCTGTATTTAGACTGAATTGACAAACCTATTGACGACCGTGTCCGCACATGACGTCATTTCGTGTCCGCAGGTGACGTCACTCGATGGCATCATCACATTGACGTCATCATCACCTTGATGACGTTATTACCTAGATGATGTCATTACCTTCTCTGCAGATGACGTCGTTCTTCCTAACCAGCCATGTTCAGATCATCTCTGATAATGAAGGACTTTGAGTGTCGAAGCGTTGCGTCGTAAAATGTAATTCGACCGAGGATTGCATTTAATATAGCGGAACATGCCTGATATTAGACTTGGAAGTAATGAAGAAATTATAATCAGGCAAATGCATATTGCACGAAGCGAGCCCTGTCACAGAAGTGGAAAATATATCTATTAACCATTGTGCTAGCACAACGTAATTAACACAACACGACACAACACAACACACAGCGTAATACATTTCAATTTAACACAATAGCAACCAAAAATACTTTTGTAATAACTACAAAGAGACCAATCCATTCTCTTTCGATCAGAAATCCCAATTGTTCTGAAGCCACAGTGTCACGGTAAGAACAAGTTCAACTGTCGTTCAATCAAGAAATGTCTCCCTGCCAGTTTGAAATGTAACGGAGTCGATGATTGTGGGGACAATAGCGACGAAGAGGGATGTGGTAAGAAGATTATGATCATTCATATTACACCATGTATTTCCCATACCATATTGTACATGACCATACCATTACCATACACTATACCATATCACACCATACATGACCAAACAACACGTTACCATATCATATTGTACCATACATATATGCCATACACGACCATAGTACACCGTACGAAGAGGTTTGTAGTAAGATCATTTTAATCGCTTCACAAATAATCTATTTAAGATTTAGCGAAATATATGTCTGAAATATTTTCTTTTCAAAAGACCCATGTGCAAACAAGAAATGTGATTTCTACGCGACATGTGTAACCACGGAGAACAACACGGCGCTGTGTGACTGCCCCACGTTATGTACAGCTGACTGGGCTCCTGTCTGTGGCTCAGATAATGAAACCTACCCTAACTTGTGTAACATGAAAGTTGAATCTTGTCTAAAACAGAAGATGATTACGAAAGTCAGAGATGGAGAATGCAGTAAGGGAAACTAAACAAACTTTATTTATACTTGATAGCTCTAAACTGTTCTTCCTAGAGTTCCAGTAAGGATCATCTCTTATTGATCCAGTGTTACTACAGGAGGAAACCTAAACTAAACTAACTTTATTTATGCTAGTTACCTCTATCAGTTCTAAACTGTTCTCCCTAGAGGTCCAGTAAGGATCATCTCTTATTGATCCAGTGTTACTACAGGAGGAAACCTAAACTAAACTAACTTTATTTATACTGGATAGCTCTATAAGTTCTAAACTGTTCTCCCTAGAGGTCCAGTATAATTTTGGAGATTTTTTGCAAGTTTACACTACTAACTGCTTCTTCTCACAGATGCTAGAGCCAAAACTAAATGCGAACTGGAACGGACCAAACAACAACAACGTTTGTTATTCGGTTCCTATATCCCCCAGTGTGATGAGGACGGAAGCTACAGTAGCGCACAGTGTCATGAGAGTTATTGTTGGTGTGTTGATGGTGAAGGAAATAAACTTCTGGAAACTGAGATGAGATTTGATAAACCGAACTGTACTAAAAGTAAGATGTGCATCAATATATGACGTTTCGTAATAATTTATGAAGAAATTCAAAATAAATCAATGTTTGATGTACCCTGGTTACCAGAGGTTCTTATATCTTCCGCCCTATTCTCGCTCGTAATAATATTGAGCGAGAATAGCGCGAAAGATACGAGAACCTCTGGCAACCAAGGTATGTTTAACGAGGTGTTCCTCATATACGAAATTCTCTTGATTTTCATAAACTTTTTCCCTTGATTTTCTCTGTTAAGATCACTTCTCTTTTAAGTATTTCTTAAAACACAGCTGTTGAAATCCTTACGTGTCATGCTGTATAGAATATTTGAGTCCGTGTTGTATCAGACACACACAGGGACGCCGGAACGATGTGAAAGCAAGGGGGGCAGATTTTCGTGAATATATTACATGCATACCCCCTCAGAGCATACCGTACCATACCATACCATGCTATACCATACCATACCATACCACAAAACCACACAAAACCATAGCCACAAAACCACACCATAGCACGCCATATTATACCAGTATGCCACACAATACCGAACCATACCATACCATACCATACCATACCATACCATACCATACCATACCATACCATACCATACCATACCATACCGAACCATACCACACCTAACCATACCATATCGTTTCATACCATAAATATGATTTCCTTTTTTTTCAGTAGAAGGAAGAGAAAAGTCAAAATGCGAGAAAGAGCGGGATGACGCTCGTGAAAATAATCCTTTAGTCGGAGCATTTATTCCTGAATGTGAGGAAGATGGGAGTTACAGTGAAATTCAATGTTATGGTTCTACTGGTTCTTGTTGGTGTGTTGACAGTGAAGGAAATGAACTGGCGGAAACTAAAGTGAGATCTGACAGAATCAATTGCACTAAAGGTGAGTGGCATACTGTGCAATACCACCTCAAACATTACCACACCATACTAACAACCATGTTTTTAACAACAGATGGACCAGCACCAACAGAACCACCATTCAATATCTGTGATCTGACACTTTGTGAGTTTGGAAAATGCGTGCTGGTGGATGGTAACGCTACATGTCAATGTAACAAAGTGTGTCCTCTTATCTACGCACCAGTGTGTGGATCAGACAACGAAACATACCCCAATCTTTGCGTGATGGAAAGTCAGGGTTGTGAAAAGGAAGAACATATCGAAGTACAACATGTAGGGAATTGTGGTGAGCATAGTGACGTTTTCTTAATCATAGAGTACCATAGAGTACCATACTGTACCACACCACAGCGTACCATATTCTGTACATCATGCCTTATTAATTGTACCATTTTACACTGCACCATACCAAAACATACTTATGCCATTCTGCACCTTGCCGCCCCACACCCTACCACACCACACGTAACCATATTTTAACAACAGGAGGACCACCGCCAACAGAACCACCATTCAATATCTGTGACGTCACACTTTGTGAGTTTGGAAGATGCGTGCTAGTGGATGGTAATGCAACATGTCAATGTAACAAAGCGTGTCCTTTTATCTACGCACCAGTGTGTGGAACAGACAACGAAACATACCCAAATCTTTGTGTGATGGAAAGTCAGGGTTGTGTAAAGGAAGAACATATCGAAGTACAACATGTAGGGAATTGTGGTGAGTATAGTGAAGCAAGTTTTCTTAATCATAGAGTACCATACTGTACCTTACCCCCACACCACACCCTACCACACTTAACCATATTTTAACAACAGGAAGACCACCGCCAACAGAGCCACCATTCAATATCTGTGACGTCACACTTTGTGAGTTTGGAAGATGCGTGCTAGTGGATGGTAATGCTACATGTCAATGTAACAAAGCGTGTCCTCGTATCTACGCACCAGTGTGTGGAACAGACAACGAAACATACCCCAATCTTTGTGTGATGGAAAGCCAGGGTTGTGAAAAGGAAGAACATATTGAAATACAACATGTAGGAAATTGTGGTGAGTAATAATGGAGCAAGTTTTCTTAATGATACAATACTGTACCATACCGTACCACATCATAGCACACCGTACCACATCATACCACACCATACCACACCATACCATACCATACCACACCATACCACACCATACCACACCATACCACACCATACCACACCAGCAAGATTCTACAAAACCAAGTAGCCTGTGTTGTTTTGTTTTGTGTTAATACTTGACCAATATAAGGATTTCTCCCACTATACCTTTTGGAAGAACAGTTTAAACTGATAGAGCTATCCAGTATAAAAAAGTTCGTTTAGTTTAGGTTTCCCCCTGTAGTAACACTGGATCAATAACAGATGTTTCTTACTGGACCTCTAGGGAGAACAGTTTAGAACTGATAGATCTATCCAGTATTTTACCAAGATTTTACCTTGAATTACATTCTTCCTTTCGTTCTCCTTGTAGAGGAAAAAGATCCATGTAAAGACGTGGAGTGCGATTTCTACAGTAGATGTGTTGCACTGCAAAACGGCAGTACAATATGTGAATGTCCAGAAATCTGTACTTCTCTTTATCAGCCAATCTGTGGAAGCGATAACGAAACATACTCCAATCTCTGTGAGATGATGGTAACTTCGTGTACGCAACAGGAATTGATAACCAAGGACTATGATGGGGAGTGTAGTATGCCTATAGGTATGTTTAAATGATGTGATTTGTCGTCTATGATTCATATTCTGGAGTTCAGAACTGATAGAGCTATCCAGTATAAATAAAATTAGTTTAGTTTAGTTCAGGTTTCCTCCTGTAGTAACACTGGATCAATAAGAGATGATCCTTACTGGACCTCTAGGAAGAACAGTTTAGAACTGACAAAGCTATCCAATATAAATAAAGTTAGTTTAGGTTTCCTCCTGTAGTAACACTGGATCAATAAGAGATGATCCTTACTGAACCTCTAGGAAGAACAGTTTAGAACATAACAAATTTTTGTTCCATAGGAGGTTCGGTCAATCCGTGCCAAGACTTTGAATGTGAATTCTATGCCACATGCGTACCTCTCAAAAACGGCAGCAAGATCTGCGAGTGTCCTCGGATATGTACGCGAGAATATGATCCTGTCTGTGGCTCGGATGGAATGACGTACAGCAATGCCTGTGAAATGAAGGTGACATCGTGTGAGCAACAAGAATTGATAACCAAACAATATGATGGCAAATGCGGTAAGTAGAGTTCTCTTCATAATGATACACACACGTAAAATTGCACAAGTTGTGACAAACTTGTATCATCAGCATGTATTCGCACTGCTTGTTCCCAGCCTGTTGACAACTGCCACAGAGTTGTTGAGCTCTATAGACGTGTTACAAGTTGTCCAAACAACTTGTTATCGTCCTGCAATTCAACAATTTGCCCACAAGTTGCGAGTGACAACCTTGTAGCAACTCGATAAAATAACAGCATTGTCACAACTTGTTGACATGTCAGCGACTCAGTGGTGAAATTAGTTTCAAAAACAGGAAAAAATAGCTAGCCTCTGAAAGAAATTTGTCTATTTTTTAAGGAGGTGCACGAGGCGGAAGACCAAAGTCAAAATGTGAAAAAGGGCGAGATGGTCGGAAATTGCTCGGAGCATTTACTCCTAAATGTGAGAAAGACGGGAGTTACAGTGAAGTTCAGTGCCGTTCTACTGGTTATTGTTGGTGTGTTGATGGTGAAGGAGATGAAGTGGTTGGAAGTAAAGTAAAATTTGGCAGACCTAATTGTTCTGAAGGTAAGATGTACCATACTGTACCATACGACCATCATCACCACAGATTTAATAATTGTAGTGAAGGTCATGAGATATAGACTACACCATACGGTACACATACTACATCATATCGTTATGATGCAATGACATATAATATCTTACCATGTCATTATGTACCATACTATTACGTACCATGCCATACCACACTGCTATAATCATCACCACCATCATCATTATTACCATTATCACCAAAGCCACCACCATCATCATCATCACCACCACCATCATCACCACCACCACCACCACGATCATCATCATCACCATCGTCACCACCATCATCACCACCATCACCCTCATCATCATCATCATCATCATCATCATCATCATCATCACCACCACCACCAGTCACCACCGCCATCACTAACTTTCACTGCATTATTACAGAACTGCCACCGACAAACCCACCGTTTGACCCATGCGACATTTCTCTCTGCGACTTTGGTATATGTGTGAATGTGAACGGTACAGCAACCTGCGTGTGCAACAACGCGTGTCCATTTATTGAGGAACCTGTGTGCGGAAGTGACAATAAAACGTATGCGAATCTTTGCGTGATGGACGCCGAGGCGTGTGAACGCAAAGAATATATCAATGTTAAGCACAAAGGGTCTTGTGGTGAGTGGATAAGAATTATTTACACTTGATAACTCTACCAATTCTAAATATCTGCCCTACATGTGGAACGCGTTACCTCTTGCTATCCGCACTTTTGAGCGTACATCAGTCTTCAAGACTCGCCTGAAGAAGTTATTATTTGCACGCCTTCAATCCACCTAATTTGATTCGCAAAATATCCGTTAATGCGGCATTATTTGTCCCATCTACAGAAGCCCCAATGTGGATTCAACTTGTAGCTGTTGATTTTAACAATTGCATTAACAATGATTTAGATTTATGTACAATTGTTCTTACGTACTTTGTTTAATTATACTTTATTTTTGTTGTTATCCTTTGTGAAAGACCCCGGGTTCTATTGCTTCCAGTTGACTCATTATGTCTCAGATATCGTCAATGGGTGACTCCAGGTATAGACTAAATTTTGATCAAGGCAAGAAGAACGAAATCCAACACCACAGCTAGAAAGAGCGTCTTAGAATGAGTAAAACTGCAAAGATTTGTTGCGAAATGTTGTAAAATGAAGAAAATATAGTCCTGTGAAGTTCGTAAATTTCGTATATATTTGTATTACGCGCGGTAAAAATAACCACTTTCGGCTCAAAAATGGTTATTTTTCCCGCGCGTAATGCAAATATATACAAAATTTGCGAACTTCACAGGGCTATATATTCCTCATTTTACAACAATTCGCAACTAAACTTTGCAATTTTACTCATTTTATGATGCTTTATGATGCTCTTTCCAGCTATGGTAATTGTTTCGCTCTTCTTGTCTAGATCAAAATGTCATCTTTTTCCTGGTCCAGTAATCTCTTAGGCAACGTTTTCACAATAGATCCATTGCACATGACGTCACAGCACCGGTGACGATGCATCTGGAGGACAAATTAGCAATCTATGCATAATATAACTTTTTAAACAAAGCAAATTTTGTAAAAGTTTATAATAATTTTGTATTAAAATGGTTAGTTTTTGCGCTGTATGTGGTTCTTGTACCCGTACAGATATTGTTAGGGAGCATCTGGAGGACGCTGTAAGGATTTGTGACGTCAGTGCAATAGGTCTATACCGGATAGCTGTACGTATTGGGGCGAAAAAGCATCTATCCGACAAGGAGTTATATTGAGAGGCATATATATGCAATAGCCAATGTAATAAAAACACATAGTGATGACTATAATAGAAAATTCAGGGGGGTGAATGCCTGTCATAAGCGCACTGGCTAGGACCATGGCGTCAGCATTTTGATGACGAATTACGGTTACGCCAAATCATAGGAAAAACCAAGAAGTCGGGCTTCTGTACAGTCACTGTTCTGTGACAGAGCCCTAACCACTGACACCACTGTTCTATTTCACAGGAACAAAATCCGAATGTCAAAGAAAGTTACACGAAGCATTGACCAAGCCAAGACCAGGCAGACGCACACCAAGCTGCGAGGAAGATGGTAGCTACAGTCCTAAACAGTGTCACGGGTCGACTGGTTACTGTTGGTGTGTGAATCGACGTGGAGAGCGAATTCCTGGAACACTGTTACGATACGGTCAAGTTGACCAACTAAATTGTTCTCAAGGTAAAATTTCTTGCAAACATTGTGGAAGTTAAGAACGAAAGTGAAAATCTTAGAACTGAAAGAGCTATTCAGTATAAATAAAGTTAGTTTAAATTAATATTAATTTAGATTTCCTGTTGTAGTAACACTGAACAATAAGAGATTATCTTTACTGGACCTCTAGAAAGAACAGCTTAGAACTGATAGAGCTATCCAGTATAAAGTTAGTTTAATTTAGATTTCCTCCTTTACTAACACTGGATCAATAAGAGATGAGATTTACTGGACCTCTAGGAAGAACAGTTTAGAACTGATAGAGCTATCCAGTATAAATAAAGTTAGGTTAGTTTAGGTTTCCTCTTGTAGCAGTAACACTGGATCAATAAGAGATGAGATTTACTGGACCTCTAGGAAGAACAGTTTAGAACTGATAGAGCTAGCCAGTATAAATAAAGTTAGGTTAGTTTAGGTTTCCTCTTGTAGCAGTAACACTGGATCAATAAGAGATGATCTTTACTGGACCTCTAGGGAGAACAGTTTAGAACTGATAGAGCTATTCAGTATAAATAAAGTTAGTTTAATTTAAGTTTCCTCCTGCATGTAGTAACACTGGATCAATAAAGGATAATCCTTACTAAACCTCTCTAAGTAAAACAGTTTATAATTGAAAGAGCCATCCAGTGTAAAGTCAACTTAGTTTAACCTAGCTTGGTAGTTTCGCAAATTGTACAGAAGCACCAAATTTCAACCAGTACCTGATAATGTGTTACAGTTGTGGAATCTGACCCATGCGCAGTTGTGAAATGTGATTTTTACGCCACGTGTGTACCGCTGGACAATGGTGACCATATCTGCGACTGCCCGCGATTCTGTACGAGAGAGAACAAGCCAGTGTGCGCTTCAAATGGCGAGACATACGCGAACGAATGCGAGATGCGGGTCTCGTCTTGTCGGAAACTAGAAATGTTGTTTGTGGAAAGCTTTGGCGAATGTGGTAAGATTTGCTTTTAGGGAGCGGTCATTGGGGGGGGGGTGGCACCGAAGAGAAAAAGGTTGGGTAAACTAAATTTTGAGTGAGTAAAAGGCTGGGTAAATGAAAAACAAAACAACTCAAGGGTTGGGTAATAAAAAGTTATTGTCATTTCCAAAGCATGACTCACTTAAATATTGGAGACTGAAAAGCAATGTCAACAGTCATATGTCAAAACAATATGTGAATCAATCAGAGTCACTATTGATCATTTTCCGATTTGTTGGGAGACAAATGGTCCCAAAGAAAGTACATGTACATACAACATGAAAGTTTAGTTATCAAACTTGTGTCACAGAAGTGGTAAAGGACATGTGTGACAACTGAATGGTATTTTTTTGTAAAGGTTTTGGCCAGGGGTGGGTATTTATTTTTTAATTGATATTTGAGGTTGGGTAATCAAATTTTTTGCTTTTTAACGGTTGGGTCAGCAAAATTTTTACCAGGAAAAACATTTCTCTTCGGTGCCCCCCCCCCCACCATAAATAATGACCCGTCCCTTATTTATAAAAGAAAGCGTTTTGGTGACAGTTGCGGCCGAGTGAAGCATATAATTTGTCTATGAACTACACACGTAAAAATTTCACAACTTGTCAACAAGATGTGTTCGCAACAGGCTTGTACGTAGCAAGCTTGTCAACATGTTGTAACAATGCTGTTATTTTGCTACAAGGTTGTCATTCACAACTTGTTGACAAATTGTTGAATTGCAGGACGATAACAAGTTGTTGGAACAACTTGTAACAAGTCTGTTGAGCTCAACAGCTCAACAACCCTGTAGCAAGTTGCCAACAAGCCGTTGACAACTTGTCAACAAGCTGGGAACAAGCAGTGCGAACACATCCTGTTGTTGGAACAGCATTGCTACAAATCTGCTGCAGGTTTGTTACAACTTGTGCGTTTTTACGTATGTATAATTCATGCAGAGAAAAGTCTCTATTATCGTCACTAATTAAGGATTTGGGAATGTTAAACGGTTTTACAATACAGTGATTACTGCAAGTGTTTTTCTTCATGTGCGTTAGGGGATGATCCTTACTGGACCTCTAGAGAGAACAGTTTAGAACTGAAGAGCTATCCAGCACAAAGGAAGCTATATACTTTAGTGTAATTCAAAGCATACGTGGATACAAGCTTAAATTTATTTGCTTATATCTTATTCTAGGCTCACAACCACCGACAGATCCACCGTTCGACCCATGCGACATTTCTCTCTGCGACTTTGGCGTATGTGTAAATTTGAAGGGTACAGTAACCTGCGTGTGCAACAAAGCATGTCCATTTATTGAGCAACCTGTGTGTGGCAGTGACAATAAAACGTATTCAAATCTTTGTGTGATGGACGCCGAGGCTTGTGAACGCAAAGAACGTATTTCTGTGATATTCGACGGTCCTTGCGGTATGTAGATGTGTTCAATTTTCTGTTCTATACCATACCATACTACCATACCATACCATACCATACCATGCAACACCATATTATACCTTAAAATACTCATTAATAATTCATAAACCTTGTGGCAAATCATGTCAGCCATAATATGTCACGTGGAGTGACTTTATATCTGATAAAAATCATCTTCATTAGTATTCTTTATATAATTGTTCTTCCTAATTAATATGATTATATAATTGTAATTAGTATTCGTTTGTAGTCGTATTTTAAGCTATTCAAAACACTCGTTGTCGTGTTTTATCGGATATAAAACGCTCGGCTGCGCCTCGCGTTTTATATCTGATAAAACACTCCTACTCGTGTTTTAAATAGTAATTAGAAAATTCATTAATAATTCACGAGGAAAATACAAAAGAAATGAATGTTTAATCAATGTTTGTAAATCGGATAAAGATTCGTCCTGATTTACATAAACTTCAGCTTTGATTTTCTCGGCTTAGACAATGTTTATTTTTAAAATTACTTCGCCAATGAACTCATAAGATGGGTCATTTTTTAAGTACGATAAAACATTCGCATCCGATCTGTATCTGATATACAAACTCTCGCCTTCGCCTCGAGTTTGTATATCAGATACAGATCGGCTGCTCATGTTTTATCTTAGTACATACAATATCATAACATGAATCATATTTTCTTACAGAGGAAGCTCAACCGAATACAATTGATCAATGCGCTTCGACTGAATGTAGTTACAACAGTCAGTGCGAAGTTGTCAACGGTAGTGCAAGATGTGTCTGTGAGAAAGGCTGTACTAAAGAACTTGATCCCAAGTGTGGCTCTGACAATATCACATACGGCAACCCGTGCGAGTTGCGCAGAGCGTCTTGTGAAGAGATGAGGGAAATCAACATTGTGAAGGATGGGGAGTGTGGTAAGTTTCACAACTGGAGTGATAACAAGATCACCACTTTAATCATCACAATCACCACCAATATCACATTATCACCATCATCACCACCATCATCATTATCACCATCATCACCACCACCATCATCATCATTATCACCATTATCACAACCATCATCATCATCATCACCACCATCATCACAACCACCATCATCATCACCACCATCATCATCATCACCACCATCATCACCATCACCACCATCATCATCATCACCACCATCATCATCACCACCACCATCATCATCATTATCACCATTATCACAACCATCATCATCATCATCACCACCATCATCACAACCACCATCATCATCACCACCATCATCGTCACACCACGTAGCAATGAAATGGTGAAACAACAAAAGATGTCATATGGCACTCTTAGGATGATCAAACCTTTAAATTATATTTCTTTTAATATTTTCTCAGCCATTCCAACCACCGCCCAACCAGCAGTTGCTACAACCAAAGCTCTTCCCAAGTGTAAGAATTGTCCAACATTTGGCAAAAATAATATCGTGAAGAGTTTCTGCAGCTGGTTTAACAAATTTGGTAAGTCCAACAGTTTTGTAAGGTACAAATGTTAGTTTAGTTTAGGTTTCCTCCAGTAGTAACACTGGATCAATAAGAGACAATCCTTACTGGACCTCTAGGGAGAACAGTTTAAAACTGATAGAGCTATCCAGTATAAATGTTAGTTTCGTTTAGGTTTCCTCCTGTAGTAACACTGAATCAATAAGAGATGATCCTTACTGGACCTCTAGGGAGAACAGTTTAAAACTGATAGAGCTATCCAGTATAAATAAAGTTAGTTTAGGTTTCCTCCTGTAGTAACACTGGATCAATAAGAGATGATCCTTACTGGACCTCTATAGGGAGAACAGTTTAGAACTGATAGAACTATCCAGTATAAATAAAGTTAGTTTAGTTTAGGTTTCCTCCTGTAGTAACACTGGATCAATACGAGATGATACTTACTGAAACTCAAGGAAAAACAGTTTAGAACTAATAGAGCTATCCGGTATAAATAAAGTTGGTTTAGTTTGCATTTTATTCTGAAGTAAGTAGTAAGGCAATGCTACGCAGTGTGAATAATTAAAGCAAGTTTTAAAAAGGGTAGATATTTATTTTGTTTTAGTGATCATTGGTGAAATTTTGAACACAAGCAAGAGTGGAAAAGAAATAAGCGTCAAGGTGGAAACGAAGTTCAAGCCTACGGCAACAAAGACGAAATTCACACCCCAAAACACCGTCAAGATCAGAGTGCAAAAATCCCCCCGCTGTGTGTGCGATAATCTGCAATTCAAAAAGAATGAAAAATACGTGCTTATGGGGAGAAAGACAAAGAGTAAAAAAATCTTTGTAATAAAATGGAAGACTGGTTTTGTGGAGAAAGTCTCGAAGCAGCTCGTCGATAAGTTGACGAAAACGTCAGAAAGAGCCAAGACGTGGCGCTTGTGTGCCCTGAGGAAGTCTGGTTAAAACAGAAACTGATAAACTACAGTTTAAACATACTTATAAGAGAGGCTTTTTATTGTTTGTGATGGCATAATTGTAATACTATTGCTAAGATCCCGCTGATTATATATTGTATTCGTGAGGTTAGATTTCTATACTAGATTTTAATAATAAATGTTGTACTTTGTTTTATCCGTGTGTTGCTTTTCCCCTCAACTTTTATTTATCACATTCATACTCGAGTCTCCAGACAATAGGGGGTCTGTTAGTCTGGAGGTGTACTAGTCCCCCCGGGAAAATTTAAGGACGACACCCATCAGATTGACTGAAAGTTCGACCTTGCCTGCCCACTGAAGCAATCCATGCGAAACATTTTCTAACCGAATCAGGGTTTTTCCACAGAAAAATAGAAAATAGTCTATGTACTATTTAAAGCACGTGTAGGAGTGTTTTATCAGATATAAAACGCGAGGCGCAGCCGAGCGTTTTATATCTGATAAAACACGACTACAAGTGCTTTAAATGGCTTAAAAAACGACCCATCTTCTGATGAGTAAATTAGCGAAGTAATTTTTAAAATAAACTTTGTCTAAACCGAGAAAATCAAAGCTAAAGTTTATGTAAATTAACATGATTTTTTATCACATATAAAGATACGACACGCTTATGATTTTTCTTTGTGTTTTGCTCCTGAATTATTAATGAGTTTTTTAAATATATGCAACGTTGAATTTAATCGCTTTATCGCACACAACTCTTTGAAAAACACTCGAAGATTTTATTTACATTATGAAATATATAGAATCAAGCCAAAATAGTGGGTTGATTCTGTTAAATACAAATTCCTCACAGCAAATGTTATCACCGTACATTTTTATTGCTTATCACTGAATACTTTCATTTTATCTCTGCAAAAATTGGTTATCACTTCACTCTAAAATTAGGTATGTTATACTGGCTAGTTGTTTTAAATTGTTCTGACCGTTACCATAAGAGAAAACCTTAACTAAAGTACCACACGCAGCCGTGTATATTGCTATACAGGAAAACCATCAATTGAATTATATTTTCACCCGGAAACCAAACATTCTCAAGTCAACAAAATATTTCTGGGCACTATAGAACGCGCTGAATAAGCGCGGAGGTCGTATGACGCCGGTTATGAGTCGATAGAGTAGCTGGCTGCTGGCGTAGTGCTTAGTGCGGTTAACACTGGACCGATACCGGACGACTCTTACTGGACCTGTAGGGAGAACAGTTTAGAACTGATAGAGCTATCCAGTATAAATAAAGTTAGTTTAGTTTAGGTTTCCTCCTGTAGTAACACTGGATCAATAAGAGATGATCCTTACTGGACCTCTATATAGGAAGAACAGTTTAGAAGTGATAGAGTCATCCAGTATAAATAAACTTAGTTTAGTATAAGTATCCTCCTGTCTCTGTAGTAATACTGGATCAATAAGAGATGATCCTTACTGGACCTCTAGGAAGAACAGTTTAGAACTGATAGAGCTATCCAGTATAAATAAAGTTAGTTTAGTTTAGGTTCCTCCTTTAGTAACACTGGATCAGTAAGAGATGATCCTTACCGGACCTCTAGGGAGAACAGTTTAGAACTGTTGAGCTAAAGTTAATTTAGTTCATAGGACTCATTCTGCAGTACTGGATCGCTAAGGCCAAGAATTATTTTAGAACTGATAGAGCTATCTGGTATAAATAAAGTTATTTTAAGCCGGGCGCAGATGGTACGATTTTAATCGGCCGATTAAATGCAGGTGCATGGTATTTAACGAAGACAATATGGACTAGCGAGGTCAATGAGACCTTACATGATCCCAGTGAGCTGTTCTCGTTTGAACATGAATCTGGTATACCATGCATGATTTAGGGTGGCTTTATTATGGCACTCAGTTGTAACACTGTTACAAGTGTTACGCAGTGTTAAACAATGTTACATATTCTTACATAGTGTTACACAGTGCTACATAGTGCTACAGAGTGTTGACAGTGTTACATAGTGTTACATAGTGTTACATAGTGTTACATAGTGTTACATAGTGTTACATAGTGTTACATAGTGTTACATAGTGTTACATAGTGTTACACACACTACCCCTAACCCTACCCCTAACCCCACCGTGTTACATAGTGTTACACACACTAACCCTACCCCTAACCCCACCGTGTTACATAGTGTTACACACACTAACCCTACCCCTAACCCCACCGTGTTACATAGTGTTACACACACTAACCCTAAGCCTACCCCTAAATAAAGATAGTGTAACACTTGTAACACTGTTACCCGAGTATATACTTGATAATACACTCTAAATCATGCATCATATGGGAATCTGGACCGTAGATCGACAGACTAAAATAGTATCGTCGGTACGCTCGATCGCGTGCAGGCACATTCTTCCCTCGGTGGGCCTGCACGCGGGCTACGTGTACGCTCGATCGCAGTTTAACACAACAAAATTTATATTGCGAAATACCACAGAACGTCCAAATTATCATGTCATATTTCTACCCAAGTTCTTGCAACAGGAATTTAAAAATAATGGTAAAAATCTACTTCACAGCCTTATGGAATTTGATGTTTTGGCACAGCATACGAAACGGTAATTATGCAAAATTCAACCGGCGCCGATTACGCAAAAAAATGCGTTCAGCACGGAACTGAGTCATTTGGCATCTAGCTTGCGTGCATCAGCTGTTTGCGAGTGGTGCTAATCAGTGTGTTAATCTTTTTAAAATCTTCAAATCATGCAGAGTTTTGTAAGTGGGGGTTGGGAATTCAACCATTTAATCGTGAAGTGTTTGTTTAAACGTCCTTAGTTTAGAAACTGACTTTATAATTTATACTGGATAGCGCTGTTAGTTTCAAGCTGTTCCCCCAAAAGATATCCAGTAATTGAGTCATCTCTTACTGATTCACCAAACCTAAACTAAACTGTCTATTTTATTCTGGATAGTACTAACAGTTCTCGTATTGATCCAATGTTACTACAGGAGGAAACCTAAACTAACCTAACTTTATTTATACTGATTACTGGATAGCTCTATCAGTTCTAAACTGTTCTTCCTAGAGGTCCAGTAAGGATCATCTCTTATCGATCCAGTGTTACTACAGGAGGAAACCTAAACTTATTTATACTGGATAGCTCTATCAATTCTAAGTTCTTCCTAGAGCTCGAGTAAGGATCATCCTTTGTTGATGAGTTTATCCAGTGTTACTGCAGGAGGAAACCTGAACTTAACTAACTTTATTTATACTGGATAACTCTATCAGTTCTAAACTGTTCTTCCTAGAGGTCCAGCAAGGATCATCTCTTATTGATCCAATGTTACTACAAGAGGAAACCTAAACTAAACTAACTTTATTTATACTGGATAGCTCTATCAGTTCTAAACTGTTCTTCCTAGAGGTCCAGCAAGGATCATCTCTTATTGATTCAGTGTTACTGCAGGAGGAAACCTAAACTTAACTAACTTTATTTATACTGGATAGCTTTATCAGTTCTAAACTGTTCTTCATGGGGGTCCAGCAAAAGTCCGTCTAGTGTTACAGCAGGAGAACGCCACTCACAGCACTGAAAGGCAAGTGTCCATGAAATGCGACTGGAACATACCATTGCTATGCAAGTTTACGACGGCGTAAAAAAACTACCAAAGATATTAACTATATAAGCTTACACTTAAGACGTAGACAAAATAAATCAGCTGAAAAAATATAGAATGACCGATTACTGGTGTTTGCTTTGCAAAGAATAACAAAACGGGCATGCAATAAAACTGAAATATCCTACAAATAAAATTGAAATTTCCCTTCTCTCTCTGCTAAACTCTGGTGCATATATGATCCAAGGGTAAAGAGAATTAAGTTTACTCTTAAACAATACATATATTGAACGAATTTTAGCCTTGCAGACGTACAGACTTTAAAAAACAGATTAACTGATCCATTTATACGAATGAAGGTGGCACTGCTTGCTTTGTAGTTCCGTAATTAGGGAGACATAATGTTATTTAATAACTCAAGTGCACATACAGACAAATAAAAAACATTTTTAGACTATTTATAAATTAAAGAGATAAAACTCCTAAACAAACTTAACCCACAGATTGAATAGACGGATTAGAATTCAATGTTTCCTTTTAAGTCCAGAATGACAAATGAATTGAAATCGTATTTGTTAGTTAAGCAGTTTTAGGCCATACAGGTTTTTTTTCCATAAAGATTTAAACCATAATATTTCATCGGCACAGATTGGTTGCATTCTGCGGTTTCCTGGACTTGCAGATTGCCCTTACTTGACCGCTTGCGAAAGGCGTTTAAACGCTATTGAGATCTATCCAGTATAAATAAAGTTTGTTTAGTTTAGGTTTCCTCTTAACACCTAGAAAGAACTGTTAAAAACTGATATACAGTTAATCACCATAAAAAATTTAATTTAGTTTAGCCATGTTACTCGCGAAGTAACAACAGAACAACAAGGAATGATTCTTACTACTGGACTTCTGAGAACTGTTTAGAACTGATAGAACTATCCAGTATAAATAGTTTAGTTTAATTTTCATCCTGTAGTAACACTGTATCAATACGACATGATCCTACTCGATCGCTAAAGAACAGTTTAGAATTAATAGGAGTTATATATATCCAGTATAAATAAAGTTAGTTTAGTTTAGGTTTCCTTCTGTAGTAACACTGGATCAATAAGAGATGATCCTTACTGGACCTCTAGGAAGAACAGTTTAGAACTGATAGAGCTATCCAGTATAAATAAAGTTAGTTTAGATTTGTTTAGTTTAACACGTTTTACTTCCTACTCGTCTTTTTAACCTTGAGCAAAGGGCGTTGCCTATCGTGCGAACCATGCCATTTTCTTCCCAAATGACTACAACTGAGTTCCTTTATAAAAACTAAGAATCTCTTAATGAGATGATTAGTGAATGATTATATTTGTTAAATCTGTTTAACGTCCACACCCACGACGTTTCTCGTACATTTCTGACAGTTGCGTTAGAAGGAATCTATCACAAAAAGGATTTTTTTTTAGAAATCTATCACAAAATGTAATTGAAGAATACGACACATCACAGACGGATGTTTCGCAAGTTGCAAATCTCCCGTTCACAAGTGCACTGCCGTCACTAGATGGCAAAAGCCTCTCCGACTTTTATCA